GTAGGAGACCTGCTCTACCACCTGAGCTACAGCCACGGTAGCACTACGTACAGCTAGATTCGGGCTTTTAATTCGGTGCTAAATTCTGAATTTCTCGTACTTACCTGCACTTGGGTTCAGTTTGATAATCCGTCCTACTTCTGCTTCTGTTTATAAATCTTTGGGTTTAAGGGTGCGTCTCAAATGTTTTCGGGTCTCTTTGTTCTGCACTTGTTGGCTCTTCTCTTTTTTGCTTCCTCACTTTGTAAAAACTCAGCGTCTCCCATTGAAAGAGCCTTTATCCTCCACCCCTTCCCACCTGCTGGTTCATGTTACAGAGGGAGAGTAGAGCATGTTCAGTTCATTTTAATCATTTTCAATATGAACTTGTTTCCTTGTTAATGCTGACCACTTCCTCCTCTGCGTCCTCAGGTGGTTGAGGACTGTTTCCTGGAGTCCTCGGGCAGCGTGATGATGGCGGGCAGCCGTATCTGCGTTTCTCCCGAGCGAGGCAAAGATAGCCAGCTGTGGAGCATCAGACCGGACGGTGTGGTTCACAGCAACCTCAAACCAGACCTCATCCTGGAGGTCAAAGGTCAGACACCTCTATTTTTACACCTTCAGTTCACGTTACTTTTTTTTCCCTTTGCTGTTCATTTTACGTTGAGCTGATTAAAAAGTGATAACTAATTTTTTAAGAAAACTAAAACGCAAAATTAAAAGTTGACTGAAATAATCTGAGCGCGTGAGCGTCACGTGCTGCAGTGATGACTGAACTCGAGCTGTGTCGTCTGTTTCCAGGTGGGCATCAGTACGATAAAAACCAGGTGATCCTCAACACGTTTGATGAGCGAAAGCTGAACCAGAGGTGGAGTTTGGAGCTGCTGTGACGACTCTCACGGCCTCCTGACGGAGCTCCGTCACGCTGGGCCCTCAGACGCAGCTCAGCCGTGGAGCCCACACCGATGTTCGCTGTCGTGTTTGCTTGGAAAGACGATGCGCTGGATTACGAGCTCACGTTGATGAACAAAATGTTTTTAGCTGACCTTTAACCCAAAGACTGTTTACTTCAGCGAGACCTCTGCCCTGTTTCAATGCTGCACCTTTTCCTGTACGGTACTTCTCTTACACTCCAGAAGCTGTTTGTAGATCAAAGTGATCCGCTGTAAAGTTTTTAATTTTTTTACACACACACACACACACACACACACACACACACACACACACTGTCGTTTGTACAGAACCACTGAGTGTAAAGACCTTGAGTTTAACTCTGCTGCCCTCTGCTGGTTGTAAATGTGAGAATATTGTTACACATTAAAGTAATAATGTGATGTCTTTATTTTAGTGAAGAGTTTCCTTTGAGTCACTGAAAAATAAAAAATAAAAAGCTTTTTTTTAAGCTGACAGCAGTTTTAGTGCTTGTTATTATTATTATTATTATTATTAACCTTTATTTAACCGGGAAAATCCCATTGAGATTAAAAACCTCTTTTTCAAGGGAGACCTGCTCAGATCCTCAGCAAACAGTGGAAAAGAAACAGCCACACAAACCTGATGAAAAGGTAAACAATGTACTTTGGATAGAAAACAAAGTGCAATGTGTCTTTGGTTTTGTGGGCGGAGTCTATAAAAGCATTGACAGCACTCAATAAGAAATGCCCACGATGTGCAGAGCTATACGTCGTCGCCCCCTTTGCTGATCTGGACTACCGTCTTTCCTCGGGCGTGACCCTTCTCCACCTTCTCAAAGGCCTGAGGCACTTGTGAAAAGCTGAAGGTCTCCTCCACCACGGGCCGGATCTGAGAGGGAGGAGACAAATAAGTGAGCAAGTTCTCTTAAAGTGTGTTTCTCCTTATAGTCACAGCTCCTGTTCCAGTGAGGATGTTCACATTAAACGTGGCCAAGTCAGTATATGGCTGTATCCCAATTCAGGGTCTGCAG